ACCCAGCAAGATTTGGTCCCAGTTGCCAACAGTGGTAACTTGCTTGATGACACACCCTTTATTGGCTGCTTTCTCTTTTTGCCGCTCCTCTGCTGGTGCTTCTTGGCCTCATCTCCCACATTAACTATATATACTGCTATCTTTACCTCCAGATGTGCTTCTGGGGAAAGTGAGACACACACTGTCCATGAAAGAGGGACAAGATAGTAGCAAGCACAGAAACCCACAGGATTTCTTCTGGGTGACCACCAACCTGCACGAATGGGCTCCCAGCTCACAGACTTAGCCAATACTCTGCATGCTCAGAAGATAGGCTGGGCCAGGGTCTGGGTCTGAAATAAATAGGCCTCTGTCATACCAACTTGCTATGAACAGTCACAAAATGTCTTGGGCCCCAGAGTAGCCCAGGCCTCAGGCCCTAGAGAGAGACCTGCCTGGCCTCTGATTCTTAAAGTTCATCCCTTACTCAGAGCTACCCTCCCCACAAGAACTTTCCCCACCCAAGCCTGTGGAAGGGCCTGTCAAGCACTGAGGCCGGCACTGTGTGCTCCTCCATCCCCTGCTAGCCTCACTGTCCACCATAGGACTTATTCAGCGCCCTGCTGTGTGCCTGGGGAAGTGCGACCCAGCCACCGACCCCACCAAAGGCCCAGGCCACGCCCCAAACGTCCTCCAGGGGGCGCCGCCGCGAAGCCGGTCTTTGGGCTCTTTGAGCTTAGTGCCGGTGGGCGGGCGCCGGTCCCCCAAGCCTGCTGGTTCTGCTAGCCCGCCCTCCGCCCCTTCCCCCGCGGGTGTTCCCCAGGCTGGGTCCCACTCAGAACGATTCCCCACCACACACGTGTTGTGCTGCTCACTGCTGCTTCATTTCTCCTCCCGCCCGAGGTCGGACCCTAAATCCTGGACAGGCCCAGCGTCCACATGTCCATTTGTCTGTTTACCGGTTTGCGTGTGACTGTGGGTCGACGCGCCCTGCTCTGGCCACGGCAGGTGCAGGGTTAAGGCGGGGGGAGATTTTCCCCAGTCGGGAGGGGGGACGAGGGGCGGACCCGGTCCAGCCCCGCCCCGCGCCGAGCCGAGCCGGAGCCCCGCCGGAGCCCCGCGGAGGCTGGCCTCAGCCCCAGCCAGAGCCGGCACGGAGCCGGAACGGCGGACCCCGCGTCCCGGCGGCGCCGGAGCCCCGGCCGGTGAGTCCCGCAGGAGCCGCGCTCAGGGGAAGTTTGGGGCGCTGGGCGCAGAGCCCCAAGCGCGCTCGCCTGGACCCGCCCCCCGCCTCCCGCGAGCTGGAAGTTTGGGGCCAGGAGGCCATCGCTCCAAGGGTCCCAGGAGCGTGCCCCCCACGGGAAAGGAAAGGCTGAGGAACTTGGGGATCTGCTGTGGAAGTCCAGCTGCTCATTCCTACTGGAAACGCCCTGGACTATGGGAGTCTAGAGTCCTATGATCATGGGATCCCCAAATCAACCCCCCTCCCCTACTTCTGGACACCAAGGAGACTGGCCTCTGGGAACCTGGCACGAACAACCCCCTGATAGTAGACCTGAAGGGGGAATGTGGGGCCCTGGCGTCCATCTCCTCCTCTCCTAGTCCCAAACGCCCTGATCTTGGCCTTTTGCTGGTGGGAATGGATGATCTCTATGGAATGGCCCCCAAAAGGGTTGTAAGTATACCCTGGAGTCTGATCCCTGGCAGCATGTGGGAGACCCACTGGAAGCCAATAAGGGGAGGGTACAGTAGGACTCCATTCATGCAAAGCACCAGAATGAGGATTGTTGAAAGGAAGGGAAGGGGGCCAGGGTGGAGTGTCTTATCCTAGTCAACTTACCTACCACCTAGACCTAGATTACTTACCTACCACCTAGACCTAGATTTGGCTGGGGTGGAGGTGTTAGGTGAAGGCAGGGGGTGGGAGGAGAATCCTTCATGCCCCATAGGAAGAGGGGAATTTGCCTGAGTATCTGGTAATCTGCCTTCTTTCCCACCCCAGAGGCACCTCAGCAGTGGTGTGCTAGCCAACAGGGGTATGTCCTCCCCCATGCCTTCCCACCAGTGATTCTGAGCCAGTCCTGCCCTTACCTACAGACTGCTCAACTGTACCCCGAGGGACTGGTCAATGGCCCTGACCCTTTGTTTTCCCTCTCTCCTCCAGGTGAAGGCAAGGTCCCTGGATTGGTCAGACACTCCCTGTAGTCCTGATAGAGTCAAGATGAGGCCGCATCATGCCCCTCAGTGAGGCCTACAGCCTGAGCAGATAGTATGGCCTACCACTGGAGGTGAACACCATGGCTACAGGAGGTGGCCGGGCCTTTGCTTGGCAGGTGTTCCCACCCATGCCCACCTGCCGGGTGTATGGCACAGTGGCATACCAGGATGGGCACCTGCTAGTGTTGGGGGGCTGTGGCCGGGCTGGACTGCCCCTGGACACTGCTGAGACACTGGACATGGCCTCGCATACATGGCTCACACTGGCACCCCTGCCCACTGCCCGGGCTGGTGCGGCTGCTGTGGTGCTGGGCAAGCAGGTGCTAGTGGTGGGCGGTGTGGATGAGGGCCAGAGCCCTGTAGCTGCTGTGGAGGCCTTCCTGGCTGATGAGGGCCGCTGGGAGCGTCGGGCCACCCTCCCTCAGGCAGCCATGGGGGTTGCAACTGTGGAGAGAGGTGAGTGGCCTTAAGGAGGTCCCTGAGGTGCTCCAACACCCTCCATCCTTTCCTTGGTCCCTTACTCTTAGAGATTGGAAAAAAGATATAAATTTTTTCTGAGTAACCTGGACATAGATTTGATTCTTGTAAAGACCCTCTCCTACCCAGCTCTGAGCTGAGCTAACAGCAGCCTTAACTGCCTTTTCCAGCTGTGAAGTGGGAGAACGAGCCCAGGCTGGCCCTCAGAATAATGGGAGGCACCAACCACCTCCCTGACCATTCCTCCTCTCTAAGACACAAGGAGGAGTAGTTCAATGACTCTCAGGGTTATAAATAGTCTGGGGGAGGGGGATGGGAACAGGGCCTTGGCTCAGAGCCCAGTAAGTGCTTAGATTCCCCCCACCTTCCTCCCATATACACACTTACCAGGGAGCCTGAGATGGGAAGGCCAAGCTAGCCTGGGGATGGTTGCCATGGAAGCCCTCAGCTGACTGACCCGGTTCCCCAAGGCCCGCCAGACATGCTCCCAGCTGACCCTGAGGGTGTAACAGGGCAAGAACCTACTCTAAAAGGGCAGGATATAGAGGTGCTGGCAGGGCTCTTTGGCAGAAGGCTTGCAGCCAGCACCTCCATCCTACAAGCCTAAGCTCCTCTCCCAGCCCCCAGCTGATCTCCAGAGTTCCCTCCCCAGTCTGAGCTCTATGCTGAGCAGATCCCCATATGCCCCTCCCCGACTTAAATCATCCTCCACCTTCCTTCCCCTAGGGAAGTCCCCACCTTGTGGCCTCCAGGTCTGACCACCGGTCCTGCTTAGATGCCAGATTTGGTTGCCATAGCATCTCCAGGGAGACAGAGATGGATTATAATTAGATCATCTGCCTCCTGCTCTTCACTTGGAGGGGCCCTGGCCAGAGTAGGAATCCTAGCTCTCCCAGCCCCCACTCTGGGAAGTAAGGAGGGTTTCTGCTGCTTGGGAGACGTACTACACAGAAGTGGGTCCCCACCCACCCCCAGACCTGACCAGTGCAGCTGTCAGGGTAGAGTGCCCTGGCCAGGCTGAGGTGCACTCTGAATCGCTCTTTTCTATGCAGATGGTATGGTGTATGCTCTGGGGGGAATGGGTCCTGACACGGCCCCCCAGGCCCAAGTTCGGGTGTATGAGCCCAGGCGGGACTGCTGGCTTTCACTACCCTCCATGCCCACACCCTGCTACGGGGCTTCCACCTTCCTGCACGGGAACAAGATCTATGTCCTGGGTAAGGGCCTGGGGGTGGGGGCGGGGGAAGGATGTGGGAAAGGGGCTCGAAGTGCAGAAGCACCTATTTTCATAGGTTGGCTGGGATCAGGCTTAGTCTGGGATGGCAGAACAAGAGAAGTTTTGGGTGAACCAGGCTTGCTTGGAGGCTCTGATCTCTGGTGGCCCTACTAAGGCTGGAAAACCAAACCCCAATGCCTGAGGATCTTCAGGGTGGGTGATTCATGCTCTGTTGTGCACACAGCTGGGTATGGGTAGCTAAGGTGGGCAGCAGTAAAAGCTTAGCAACCTGGTGAAGGAGGAGCCTGCCAGGCCTCCTAGGCTCCTTCCAAGGTGCTCCAATTCCATTGGCAGGGGGCCGCCAGGGAAAGCTCCCAGTGACTGCTTTTGAGGCTTTTGATCTGGAGGCCTGTACCTGGACCCGGCACCCAAGCCTGCCCAGCCGCCGAGCCTTTGCCGGCTGTGCCATGGCAGAAGGCAACGTCTTTAGCCTGGGTGGCCTGCAGCAGCCTGGGCCCCACAATTTCTACTCCCGCCCACATTTTGTCAACACTGTGGAGATGTTCGACCTGGAACATGGTGAGCAGTGGCTGGCCTGGGCTGGCCTCCCACTTTCCGTGGGATGGAGGGGCACAGTGTGTGTTGGGGGACTTGATCTGACCTCCCCTTTCTTGCAGGGTCCTGGACCAAGCTGCCCCGCAGCCTGCGCATGAGGGATAAGAGGGCCGACTTTGTGGTTGGCTCCCTTGGGGGCCACATCATGGCCATTGGGGGCCTTGGTGAGTATCTGTGGGGCTAGGGATAGGAGGCGAGTCCAAGACAGGCGGGAGTAACCCCAAGCATGAGCACTCCCTCCTGCCCTTCTCCAGGTACTCCAGGGATCAGGGCTTTGTGAGCTTCCCTTTCCCAGTCTGTGAGACAGGCAGGGTGTGGTCTGCACGGCCTAACTCTTGGGGTGTCCCTCAGCACCTGACTGCGGGCTTTGTACCAGCAGAGGTTTAGGAGACAGGAACAGGTCAAGTGACCACTGAATGAATGGACAAATAGAAATACGAAGAAATGAACGAATGATGAATGGGAGTGATGAGTAGAAAGGCCCTAGTAACCCAAGCAAAAGAGCTGGAGTCCTTGCAGTCTGTGCCATTTACAACTTCTGTCTCTTTCCTGCAGGAAACCAGCCATGCCCTCTGGGCTCCGTGGAGGGCTTCAGCCTTGCACGGCGGCGCTGGGAGGCCCTGCCTGCCATGCCCACAGCCCGCTGCTCCTGTTCTAGTCTGCAGGCTGGGCCCCGGCTGTTTGTCATTGGGGGTGTGGCCCAGGGTCCTAGCCAAGCTGTGGAGGCACTGTGTCTGCGTGATGGGGTCTGAATGCCTGATGGGACAGGTCCACTGGAGCAGCACAGTGCCAGAGACAAATGTCTGTGGCTCCTTTTGCTGCTGAAGAAGCTCACTGTGGCTCTGTGGGATGAGGGAGGCACAGGGGCAGGCAATTGAGACGAATGTCTCAAAGGGTGGGGGGGGCTTTGTCTTTAGTGCAGGACATATATGCTTATACCCACTTTTATCCCCATTCATTCATGGACCACGCCTAGCTCCACACTTGCTCTGGAACTACTGGGCCCTCTGTCTAACTGGGAAGTGGGAGGCTGGGAGAGCTGGCCTCATGTCCCACAGGATTAGTGCCTACCTAGAGTTGACCAGTCTCACCCCAATGGCTGTTCCTGAAAAATCCTAGCTGCCAGCCTGCCTTGAAGGCCTCTGTGGCCCCAGGAGCGTTCAGAGAGGGCAGGGGACACAGAGGGGATGGAGGAGTGGATACAGGAACCTTTAGAGGACCGGAAGAATATAGGCTTTGGGCCCTTTACACTGTTGACTGTGTGATCTTGAGCAAGTCATTTCACCTCTCTGTGCCTCAGCATCCTCATCCGTAAATGGGGATCTCTGAAACCTTCCTGCCCTACCTACCTCACAGGGCTGTTGTGAGGACCCAGGAAGTTCAGACATGAAAGTAAAAGTGCTGCTAAAATCTGGTGTGTCCCTGGTGTGGACTCCTGTGTTGCCCCTGCAACCTTTGGCCCTCCTTCAGGAGTCTCAACTCTCCCAGGGATGAGGGTTCAGAGTAGCCTTTTGAATCTGGCCTCTGATGTCTTAGCCCCACCTAAGCCTCAGCTTCTCTTTTGGTGACATAGGATGACTGCTGTCTACCCCACCCCCACCCCCCGCAACTGTCCTGGTGTTAGAGGATGCTCACACGATAGTCAAAGAAAAGCTCAGAAAACTACAACAAAGCACCTCAGGGTCAGGATGACCTCAAGGTCCATGTCACCCAGCAGCTCCTCGTCTGCTCACCTCCATAGGGAGGGGTAGCCCAGCATAGGCTGTGGCCAGGGCAGTCTCCCCCTGTCCCAGCTTAGGCATAACTATGTGGCCACACACCAGACCCCTAGAGACATAATAGCCTCCTGGAGAAATCAAAGCTGCCATCCTTTGCCTCCTCCTTCAGTCTTTGCTGGATACAAGTAGGGGTCACTGACTCTGCTTTCCCTGCAGCCACACTGAGTGCAAGGTACTCCCAGAACTGACTTGCTTTGGCCATGGTACTTCCTATAGACTTTACCCCTTCTCACTTAGTGGCAGGGTTCCCAGGGCACATCCTCCCCTGCCCAGCACACAGGCGCTATGGACCTTACTGCTCTCCAGCTTCTAAGACCCCTTGGGCTGTAAGCACAGATAGGCCTCTGTGTTAGCCATCCTTGTTTAATGCTCTGGACCAGTTTAGACACTCAGAGACCCCAGCATGAAGGTAATGCTGCAGCAGCTTGGGTCTTGGGATCCCTGGGAGGTCAGGCAGTGTGTTGGTGACTGGCCCCACATTGTTGCTGCCACAATGGCCACCCTGGGATGGTTGGCAGAAGTTCTGCTGATAGGTGGTGCTGGTACGGGGAGGCTGGATCTGCACAAAGTGGACAAGGCGCTGGGGGAGGTCACTGAGTCCAGGGCCTGACCGGAAATTGGCCTGGTAGGAGGATTCAAGGGGCCGCTGCTGGCTCAACTCCAGCTCACAGGGTGCCCAGCGCAGGAAGGTGTGCCGCTGCCACAGGTGCTCCAGGTCTTTTCGCCTTCCGATTCCCTGCAGCAGGCAGTAGGGGCCCTCCTCAACGGTATGGGCCGTTGGCCCACAGTCCTGGCACCACACACCTCCCTCCTTAGGTCCTCCTCAACCCAAGCCTGCTTGGTGATGCCTGGCTCCCCTGGCCCATACCCCAGCCTCTTTGGCCTGCTCCCCAGCCATGCCTTCCATTCCAGGGTGAAGCCTCTAGAAAGTCAGTGGGCCCCAGAATACTTGCACATTGTCAGGCAAGCCAGTGGCTGAAACCAAACCTCTGTTTGGGGAATGGGCTATTTTCCAGACAAGAGAGATTGTCAGGAGCCCTCCCTCCCCACAGTGTCTTATCCCCTCCACCCTACCTCAACTTCAACCTAGGCTGAGGGTCTGCCCACTCTCCTTCCTTTCTTCACTCACTTTGTCGAAAGAAGTACGGTTGTCATGCTTGGAGAAGAAGTGTTGCTGTGCTGGCTCCTTTAAAGACAGTGAGAAAGAAGGTGAATGGGGGGAAATGATGCTTACCTGCCCTTAAGATGTTATCTCAGGACCCATAATGGAGGGAAGCTGCCAGGAGCTACTACCCCTAAACTGCTAAACTTGCCAAAATCCTGAAAGGGCAGTTACAAATTAAAGCACCGCCTTACTCCTAGGACATCTCATGCTGGCATTTGCCTCCAAAGCAAAAGTCTCTAGGGCTGCTGATTGAGGATGGGGCTGAGGCATCTTCTAAGACATACTGCCATCAGGAGGGCAGTGGTTCAAGGTTCGTGTCAGACCCTTTATCTCTAGATTGCCCAGGACCAGGACCAGAGGCTTCCTTTCTGTCCACATTTAATCCCTCATCAGCAACCCAAACTCTTGGCCCTAAGTAAGTACCACCTGAAAACTGTCAATTCTCTCTCTAGCTTGAGCTCTCTCCTGAATTCTAGACTCAATAGCCAACAGCCTATTTCATAGCCCCTTGTAAATGTCTTCCAGGTATCTCCAAACACATGACTGAGCTCTGGATCATTCCCCAACCCCACCCCCCCCACCACTCAGAGCCTCCCCCAGCTCAGGTCATGGCAGCTAGGTCCTACCAAAGACCTTGAAGTCCACTTGATTCTTTTCTTTCATACCCTACATCCAGTGTGTCAAGAAATCCTGTTGATCATTCCTTCAATATGAACCTAGGATTGGACCATTCCTCAGCAAGTTCACTGCTTTCTCTCATTCAAGGGCCACCTCCTTCTCTTGCTTGAATTATTGAAAGAGCTTCCTACCTGGTGTCCCTGCTTCCAAGCTTTTCCCTCCAGTCTGTTGTCCTCTTAATAGGCAGAATAATTCTTATGATACATAGATCAGATCACCTTTCTTGTTTGCTGAAAACCCATGACAGTTCCTCATGTTTGTAAAAGCCAAAGTCTTCACAGTGGTCCATGAGACCCACACTATATTGATCCCTCCATTACCTGCAACTCGCACTGGCATCTTTACTGCTCCTCAAACACACCAGCTATTCCCACCTTGGGCCTTTGCACCACCTGTGCTTTCTGTCTGGGACTCTTCCTGCAACTGGCCATAGGACTCCCTCTCACTTCCTTCTTGGGAGGGCTTCTTCAAGCACTACACCAGCAGTGCCATCATGCCAGCTCTGCATTTTTCACTTTCTGGAATACTATGTGACTACATAGTATGATGTTGCTTACCAGCTAATACTCCTGACTAGAACATAAGCTCATTGTGGGCAAAGGTTATTGTCTGTTTTGCTCACATCTGTAACTCCAAAACTGAGCATAGTGCCTGGCACTGGGCTCAATATGTGTTTGCTGTTTAAATCATGAACAGGGACAGAGGTCCCTGGGGCATTTGCTTTGGCCCAACTGGGAGCCAGAGAACCATGCCCTATCCCCAGGCAGAGAAAGACCACCTCCCAAACCCCCAGACCTCAATAGAAATCTCTCCCAAGACCATCAACCTTGCCTTTGTGCCTGGTCTCTGCCCCCAGAGTCCCCAGTCTCTAGTCAGTCATTCAGCTTCTCCTGCTGTAGACTTGAATGAAGTGTCTGATCTGATGAGTTCAGGCTTTCCTGGGTTGGGGTATGAGCAGTGGCTGACAGCAGGTTCCTAGAGTAAAGGCTGGGGCTAGATCCATCCCAGATCCCTGAACCAGATTCTTCAGGGTGGAGCCTGTGGTGTGTGTCTTTAAAAAGCTCCCCTACAGGAGATCCTGCCTTAGACACCTGGTGCCGGTTTTCCAGGTAGATTGAAAACTCCATGAAGGTGGGAAGCCAGCCAGCCTTACCTTCCATTCCTCATAAAGCAAGCTGACACGACAGAGATTAAAAACCCAGGACCCTTTTAGAAAAAAAAATAGGAAAAAATCTTCAGAATCTAGAACTAGGGAAAGAGTTCTTAGACTTGACACCAAAAGCAAGAGCAATAAAAGAAAAAATTGACAAACTGGACCTCATCAAAAAATTTTTTCAAGTTTTTCTCTGTGAAAGTTTATGTAAAGAGGATGAAAAGACAAGCTACAGACTGGGAGAAAATATTTGCAAACCAAATATCCAATGAAGGAATAATATCTAGAATATATAGAGAATTCTCACAATTCAACAGTAAAATAACAATCCAATTATGGGAATGCAAGCTGGTGCAGCCACTCCGGAAAACAGTATGAAGGTTCCTCAAAAAACTAAAAATAGAACTACCCTACAACCACTACTAGGTATTTACCCACAGGATACAGGTGTGCTGTTTTGAAGGGACACATGCATCCCCATGTTTATAGCAGCACTATCAACAATAGCCAAAGTATGCAAAGAGCCCAAATGTCCATCGATGGATGAATGGATAAAGAAGATGTGGTATATATATACAATGGAGTATTACTCGGCAATCAAGAAGAATGAAATCTTGCCATTTGCAACAACGTGGATGGAACTGGAGGGTATTATGCTAAGTGAAATTAGTCAGAGAAAGACAAAAATCATATGACTTCACTCATATGAGGATGTTAAGAGACAAAACAGATGAACATAAGGGAAGGGAAGGGAAACAAAAATAATACAAAAACAGGGAGGGGGACAAAACAGAAGAGACTCATAAATATGGAGAACAAACAGAGAGTTACTGGAGGGGTTGTGGGAGGGGGGATGGGCTAAATGGGTAAGGGGCACTAAGGAATCTACTCCTGAAATCATTGTTGCACTATATGCTAACTAATTTGGATGTAAATTTAAAAAAATAAAAAGTAAAATTAAAAAAAAATCCAATTAGAAAATGGGCAAACAACATGAAGACATTTCACCAAAGAGGATATACAGATGGCAAATAACACAGGAAAAGATGTTCACCATCATTAAACGTTAGGGAAATGCAAATTAAAATCACAATGAGATATCATGACATATTAATCAGAATGACTAAAATAAAACATAGAGACAACACCGAATATTGGGGAGAATGCAGAGAAACTAGATCATTAATACATTGCTGGTGGGGATGTAAAGTGGTACAGTCATTCACTCTAGGAAACAGTTCAGCAGTTTCTTTTAAAAACTAAACATACGACTACCATGTGACCCAGCAATTGCATTCCTGGACATTTATTCTAAAGAAATGAAAATTTATGTTCCCCTCAAAACCTGTACACAAATGTTCATAGCAGCTTTTTTTTATAAGAGTCAAAAACTAGAATCAGCCCAGATATCCTCTAATAGGTGAATCGTTACACAAAGTGGCATATACGTACCATAGAATACTACTCAGTAGTGAAGAGGAATGAACCATGAACAACTTAGATGAATCTCTAGGAAATTATGCTGAGAAAGAAAAACCAATGTCCAAAGGTTTCATGCTGTATCATTTTATTTATATAATCTTTTTTAAGGTTTATTTATTTTGAGAGAGACAGAGATAGCGTGAGTGGGGGAGGGGCAGAGAGACAGGGAGAGAGAATCCGTGGAGCCCGATGCAGGGGCTCAAATTCACGAAACTATAAGATCATGACCTGAGCTGAAACCAAGAGTTGGACACTTGACCGACTGAGCCACTCAGGTGCCCCTATATAACATTTTGAAGTGACAAAATTTTAGGGAGAAGAGAGTGGTGGTTGCCAGCGATAAGAGACAGAAGAAGGGTGGAGGAGCAGAAGGCTGGTGGGTGTGGTCACAAAAGGCCAGAACCAGGGATACTTGTGAGGTTGGCCAGTATCTTAACTGTGGTGGTGGATACACAAACCTACATTGGTGATAAAATTTTATAGATCTTAATATACACACAGAAATGAGAATAAGTAAAACTGGAAATCTGAGATAGGTGGATTGCGTTAATGAAAATGTCCTGGTTGTGATATTATAATATAGTTTTGCAAAATGTTATCATTGGGGGAAACTGGGAAAAATGTAGAAAGGATTTCTATTATTTCTCATAACAGCTTATGAATTTATAATTGTTTCAATAAAAATTTCAATAAAAAAAAAACCCTGGGAATCTGCAGCAAGTTCCAACTGATCCCCAAATTTCTTTTGCATCTCTATCCTCAGCTGAAGAATTGTACACAGCCCTGGAATGTGGATGCCTCTGTTGTTGGAGGCAGCCCTGACTATGAAAACTCACTATATATATATTTTTGTCTTTTGATTTTTAAAAAAATTACTCAAAAAAGTTTCATTAAAAAAATTAGCTTTCTGACTGCGTTTGTGCCTTCAACACTTTAACAGCGTTTTTCTGCTCCTCAATAAGGAAAGCACACTTGATCTGGTCATGGACACACTTAGCATATGTGAAGTACCACCCCGCTGACATGGTTTTCTGTTTTAGACAACCTCATAAGAAATTTAGGTCTCACAGCACAAACTTCTTGAAGTCAGCCTGCTCATGTGCCACACGCAGATTTGGGGGCTTTTCCAATCTTGTTGGTATAAAAGTACACAACTCTATTACCATGGATTCAGGACAGCTTAGTTTTGTTAGAGACTGTATTGTAGGATGGCCTATGATGTTATGCCAAACTTTGGATCATTCTGAATGCCTCTAGACACCATCCCCAGAAAAGCAAAACTCACTATTCTTACAGTGGCAGGATAATCTAGTGACTCCCACTGACTTAAGTTTTGTTCTCACAATAGTGAGAGCCTGGTGAGAAGTGTGGTCATTTCCTTCCACCCAGGCAGTTCTGAGTATTCCTGTACCTGGAGAGAATTTCACCTGCTTCTTTGCTTCTAAACCATCTAATGCTCCTTTTCCATTGAGGTAGTAAAGCCTATAGTCTCTGAGCAGGTGCATCTTGGGCTGGGGTTCCAGCTGAAGAGGCCTTGGAGGAGAAGTAGATTTCTTGGGAGGGGGCAATATTTGTGTATGGGAAGGCTAAGGGACCCTGTGGAGGCTGGGCATTTTGCAGTCAGTAGGGTGCTGAGTGAGGAGCCCCTGTAACAGACTGAGGCATGGCAGGGGTTGCACCGCCAATGAAAGACCTACTCCAAATCATGGGTCCCTGGGACTCTTGTCTGATCTTAAGAACAAACAGAACCAGGATTACATGTCCCAAGAGTTAGGTAGGTGAAAGCTACCAATAAATTAATCTCATCTAGAAGATAAAAAGAAAAGAGAAATTTCTTGCATCTAAATGACATGAACAAAATTTCTACCTGCTCCAAACTAAAGAAAAGTGGTGTCACATCTTAGAAAGGTTTTCAACAATAGCTGTAATCAGCTGGCTGAAATCTGGTATCTCTCAACTAATAGGAAAATAAAATGTGCACCTTCCCCAAGCAGTCCCACTAATTAGAAGAGCTTTAGACCTAGAAAGAGCCACTATACTTGGCATTTATACAATCTGAGTCCAAGATACATAGATCATGCTGTTTGGAGCCAGTGGTAATGCTAGTAAATGCTTTGTGTAGCAAGTCTTCAATTAAAATATGCCCCAAAACATGTTCCCTACTTCTTTCCTGGGGACCAGATTGAGAGGATGTTCCAGTTTTTAGGATTACAACTGCCACTGGGCTACTACAAAAACCTAGCCAGAAGTCCCCGGTTTGCCTCTATCCCTGCACTACCCCGGTCCCATTACTCTCAAGGGGAGGTGGACCCAGATGAGCGGTCTGGAGTTGCATTTGGGCCTGGCTCACTCAGTAGGCATTGCCAGCCAGTGCTTCCAACTGAGAATCCTAAGGAGATTCAGGCTCCATAGCATGGCAGCCTCCAGGACCCTATTCTTGGCCTGGGAAAGCAAGTGCTGGAGAATTCAGATGGCAGATCAAGTAGGATCTGTCTAGAAGCTGGGAAGCAAGAAGCTGTAGTGGGCAGAGCATGTTCCAGACACTCCTCCAGGTCCCTTTCCAAGGTCTTCCCACTGCTGTTGCCCACAGGGATGATCTGAGTGCATTCCTCACCAGGCTGCCTTCCCTCTGGCCACTGGAAAGCCCTGGGAGGAGATAGAGAGAAGAAAGGAGGAGGTGTTTCTTCTCTTAACTCCCTCCCAGGCTAGCCCTTGCCTGTCTGTGTCTCTCCACCCAAGATCATGACTCCTCTCAGTGTGGTTCTCTCCACACCACCCTCTCTTTCTGGGTTCTAGGAGCCATACCTTCCCCTTGTCCCTTTGGGTCCAAAGGTACTGACCACCTGGTTGTTACCAACTTGTGATACCACCTTTACCTGAGGCTCTTACATCTATTCCTTTGCATGTACACTCTGCTGAGTTCTCCTGCATTGAGTGAGCTTTTTACTGTTGGGACCCCCAACTGATGCTCAGTGCCCTCTCCTTGTCTCCAGGCCTAGAAGCAGTGGAGGGTCTGGGCCCTGCATCTCTCTCCTGTTCTCTGGAAGCCTTTTCCAGCCACCTCTGCCATCACTCCTTTCTGGTCCTCGTTGGCTACACATGTCACTTTATATGCTGCTTCCCTCACCAGAGAAGGCCTCCTGGGGTCCCCAGACTATAAGGCTGACTGTGTGTTTGACCATGGGCTTTTATGACATCAAAGAATCTAGGCTTGAGAGCAGTTGTTGGCAAAACTCAAGGCTTACATTACGGATTCTGGAAGCTCTCTTTCCATGGCCACTTACCCAACCTGGGCCCTGACTCTCCCTACATCTAGAAAGAATATTGAGCAAGACTATCTAGCCTGGTACTAGCTCTTCTCCACCCTGTCTGTAAGGGGAAGACCTGCCACTTCAGGGAAGAGGAGCCAGGCCTCATGCATTTCCTGGGAATAGGCTGGCATAAGATGTCAGTCCAGCTGTGGTAGGTCTAGGGATGATGCTCTTGGGGTCTGAGACAAGTAGAAACTGACCCAGCCACCCCAGCTTCCCCCAGGGCTACCTTGTACCTGACATCGCCGCAGGAACACTGCTGGAGGCTGGGGCTTGGCTGCAAGACGGTATTCTTGAGCACTTTCACTCTTGAATTGGCCTCTGTAGTGCCCATAAAAGCCAGTGTTGTGCTATAACAAGGCAAGTATGAGGGTGAATCCTTCACAAACCCTTACCCTGAGTCTCAGACCTCAGGGTCTCCCGGCTAGAAGCCTCTCTTGGGAGCTACTGACAGAATAAAAAGAATCTGAGAACAAGAGACACCCGTCTGCCATCCATCATTAGAACAGTTGGCTTTAGCTGTGCTGGCTCACCTGGGAGGGCTATGTGTGGGCAGGGAAAGGCTACCTTTTTTTTTTTTTTTTTTTTTTTTTTTTCTTTCCCTTCTTTCCTTTCTTCCATCTTTCTTCACTATCTTTCCCTTGAGGCCCTAATATAAGCTGGGGAGACAGCAGTGAAAGGACTGAAAGATCCTGGCCCTTGTGAATCTTCCTTCTAGTGGAGGAGTCAGACACAGCAAATAGGGTCGGGGAAGAAATAACCTGATGACTAGGATCAATAGTGATAGAGAACAGGGATAGCCCCTCATGACATTGAGGGTGGGACCTGAACGTGAGGAGTCAACTGTATGAAGAACAGCAGAAGAATATTCTATGGGATGGGAACTGAAAGAGTAAAAGGACTGGAGGTCAGAAAAAGAGAGATATGTTAGAATAAACAAGAGGCTTTATGACTAAAGGATTGTGAGCAAACAAGTGAGGTAAGGTCAAGGAAACACTGGTTTAAGAATATGCATTCTCGGGCCACCTGCATTTTTTGGGTTGCCTGGGTGGCTCAGTCGGTTAGGCATTTGACTTCAGCCCAGGTCGTGATCTTGTGGCTCATGGGTTCAAGTCCCTCACTGAGTTCTGTGCTGACATCTCAGAGCCCGGGGCCTCCTTTGGATTCTATGTTTCCTTCTCTCTCTGTCCCTCCCCCATGCATGCTCTTTCTCAAAAATAAATAAACATTACAAATTTTTTTTTTAATAAAAGAAAAAAGAATATGGATTCTCTTCTAAGAACAAAAGGAGACTTTTCATTAGGGGAGGGGCTCAAACAGGTTCTGAGCTGAGGTGATTCAAAGCACTGAGCAAAGTTTTGAGAACAGGCCACTGTCCAGTGATACGATCTTTCTCTGGGGATTGAATGGATCCATCTTGGGCATCCATTGACAAAGTCATGAACACCTGTTTGCCACATACCCTGATGTTCTGGGACAAGAAGGGCACCCTCTGAAACTGGGACACCTAAGCAAGGGATAAACTTTTCAAAATAAGTACTTCACTAACAGTGATACCTTCTGGAGAGAATTTCAGAGACAGGGACTGGCAAAAGACAGAAATGAGCATTTATCAGGGATCTAAGAAGGAGCCATACTGTGTTGATGTCATTAGGTAGACACCCTATGGACAATAAGCATGTCTAGCCAGGGAACTCCTAGAGCCCAACTCTTTGTCCTGAGAGCTCCCTGGAGAGGATCGGTGTGGTTGGTCCTCCATGATCATAGCCCTGAGCAGAAAGAAGCTCTCCCAAGTTTGTCCTCTGGCCATTACTGTGGGTTCTTATACATGACTAAGAGGCCCTTTATCTTTTCATCCCACTGAGGGCTCAGGTTGCCCAACTTGTCTGTCCATCTTTCTACTGTCTGTTGGACGCTGCTTGCTCAATATTCAGTTTAATTCAATAGTATTTACTGGGCCTTTACTGCATTCCAGGCATGGGATATACACATGGAAGAAAACAGTCTTTGCCTGCAAGATGTTCCCAGTATAGAGAACAGTCAAATTTCAGAAGTGTGGGAGGACCAAGCAAAGGACTGGGAATAAATGGGGTGGCTATTAGACTAGGAGGTTCAGCTGATTAGCATCAGACCAGGACACATGGAAAAGGACATGGCATTGTAAAGACTAGGTAGGCTACAGGGGTGACCTCAGAATGGCAGAGGGGGAGTGGGAAGTTCAAGGTCCTTCACGAGCCTGTGTGCTCAATGAAACCTGTCTTGCTAAATTTATTCTCATGATTCATTCAAATTTCAGGTACTACCCTAGAGCCAAAGGCCAGGATTAATTGTAAAATGTACTCTTACCCAGGATCCTACTAAAGCACTTTGCATCTTTCCAGGAAGGAAGCAGAAAAGGCAAACTTTCCTCTTGTCTTTTTGAGGCTATGCCTGAGGAAAGAGAATCTCAGAGGTCAACCTCTTGTTGCTTAGTGACAAAGAGAGGTTGTGACTGCACAATGCTGCTGGTTGTTGAGGCAGTATCCAGTCTGCTACCCCTTTGTGCTTCCTGCTTGGTTTTACTTCTTTACTTCTTTATGAGAGAAATATGCTCCTCATCATTAACATTCTGGGAGAGTCCTTACATATAGAAACATAGTCCACAGTGGAGTGTGATGAATACAGTCAATGAAATATCAAAGAACACTTTATTTAAAAAAAAATTTTTTTTTTCAACGTTTATTTATTTTTGGGACAGAGAGAGACAGAGCATGAACGGGGGAGGGGCAGAGAGAGAGGGAGACACAGAATCGGAAACAGGCTCCAGGCTCTGAGCCATCAGCCCAGAGCCTGACGCGGGGCTCGAACTCACGGACCGCGAGATCGTGACCTGGCTGAAGTCGGACGCTTAACCGACTGCGCCACCCAGGCGCCCCTCAAAGAACATTTTAGAGGTGAATCTTGCATTTTAGAATTGTGCAACCATACTGCCAGGGACATAAATTTAGAAAGCATTCCGTGGACTCAGAAGAAATGTTAAAAGGGTTTATGGCTCTTAGGATAAAAGTGCTGCTTCAGAATAAGGCTCTGTAAACTTTTCTCTCAGGAGTCTATGATGCCTGAGAACACTGGGGCAGGTGACTGTTACCAGGGCCCCAGTGAAGAAAGAGAGCATAATAGAGCAGCAAAAGAAGGATCATGAAAATATTTGACATTGTGGTTCCATTCCAAGCTACTCTTTGGCAGATTATTGTCTCTTTCTCATTTGTAACACAGGGACATGAAGAGTTCAGCCCTTTCACTAACCAAAAGAAGAGGCAATCAGCCTCCAAAAATGTACCAATAAAAAGCAGGGGTGCCTGGGTGGCTCAGTCGGTTAAGTGTCTGACTCTTGCTTTCAGCTCAGGTCATGATCTTAAGGGTCAGGATCTCATAGTCAAGATCGAGCCCCATGTTGGGATCCATGCTAAGTGTGAAGCCTGCTTGGGATTTTCTCTCTCTCTCTCCACCCCTTCCCTGCTCGTGTGTGCTCTCTTTCTCTCAATAAACAAACTTTTTTCTTTAATTTTTTTAATGTTTATTTATATTTAAAGGAAAGAGAGACAGAGCATGAGCAGGGAGGGACAGAGAGAGAGGGAGACAAAGAATCTGAAGCAGGCTCCAGGCTCCAAGCTGTCAGCACAGAGCCCAATGAGGGGCTCAAACTCATGAACCGTGAGATCATGACCCGAGCCAAAGTCAGATGCCCAATCGACTGAGCCACCCAGGCACCCCAAATAAACATTAAAAAAAAAGAGTTTAACAGGAGGAAACATTTAGACCCAGCTAGTGTCACTGGTATAAGCCGTACTAGCCAGAAAGCCCACCCTACTATAGTTACCCTTAAGATCCCTTCTCACATGTATTCACAGGTACAGAAATGTTCATTGCAGCATCTGCATAGGGAAAGAAAAAAACTGTAAGCAGTCTGAATGTTTTACCAACAGGGCAATAAGAAAGATACTTGAATCCACAAAGATATGTCTTAAAAACGGTGAGTCAAAAAGTCAAATTGTAGAAATATGCACAAATTATACCATTTATAAAATGATTCAATCATGTAAAACAATGTTATGTATTGTTTATGAATACAAACATATGAACTAAAAGTATAAAACATGCATAGAAATGATAAGCATCAAATTCAGGATAGAGGATAGATGAGATCATGGCTTGAGCTGAAGTCAGACACTTAACTGACTGAGCCACCCAGGTGCCCCTAATATATGTACACATACATATATATATATATATTTTAAATTTTTAATGTTTTTATTTACTTTTGGGAGAGAGACAGAGCAGCATGAGCAGGGCAGGGGCAGCGAGAGGGAGACACAGAATCTGAAGCAGACTCCAGACTGCAAGCTGTCAGCACAGAGCCCGACGTGGGGCTTGAACTCAAGAACCATGAGATCATGACCTGAGCCGAAGTCAGACACTTAACCGATTGAGCCACCTGGGCGCTCCTATATGTATATTTTAAATAGACTTTTAGAGCAATTTTAGGTTCACAGCAAAATTGAGTGGAAGAGATTTCTCATATACCTCCTGCCCCACACATGCATAACCTTTCCTATTATCAATACCTCCCACCAGAATAGCACGCTTGTAATTGCTGAACTTAAATAGACATGTCATTATTCCCCAAAGTCCATAGTTCACTCTTGGAGTTGTATATTCTATGGGTTTGGACAAATGTATACTGCAATTACACAAATGCAATTACACGTATGCACCATTATAGTATCATACAGAATAGTTTCACTGTCCTAAAAACTCTCTGTGCTCCACCTCCCAACCCCCTAACCCATGGTAACCACTGATCCTTTTACTGTCTCCATAATTTTGCCCTTTCCACAATGTCAAATGGTTGGAATCTTTTTGATATATATTCACTTAGGAAGATATATTTAAGTTTCCTCTATGTCTTTGCCTAGCATGATAGCTCATTTCTTTTTAGTGCTTAATAATATCCCATTGTCTGAATGTACCACAGTTTATTTATTCATTCACTTACTGAAAATGATATCTTGCTTGCTTGTTTTGCAATTATGTAATAAAGCTGCTATAAATATCCATGTGCAGGTTTTAGTGTGGACATAAGTTTTCAAGTCCTTTGGGTAAATACCAAAGAGCATGATTTGCTAGATCATATAACAAGACTATGTTTAGTTTTGTAAGAAACTGACAATCTTCCAAGGTGGTTGTACTATTTAGCATTTCCATTAGTGGTGAGAGTTCCTGTTGCTCCATATCCTCACCTGCATTTTGTGTTTGTTCTGGATTTTGGCCATTCTAACAGGTGTGTAGTACTAGCTCATTTTTTTTAAGTTTATTTATTTTCAGAGAGAGAACACGAGCAGGGGAAGGGCAGAGAGAAAGAGAGAATCCCACGCAGGCTCCACAATGCCAGCATGAAGCCTGATGTGGGGCTAAAACTCATGAATCATAAGATTATGGCCTGAGCCGAAATCGAGAGTTGGGAAATCAAGAGTCTAGTCACTTAACTGACTGAGCCAACCAGGCGCCCCTCATTATTGTTTTAATGTGCACTTTCCTAGTGATATATAATATTGAGCATCTTTTCATATGCTTATTTGCCATCTATATATCTTTTTTTTTTTTTTTTTTTTTTTTTTTTGGCGCATTATGTTAGATTTTTAGCCCATTTTAAAATCGGGTTGTATTCTTATTGTTGGGTTTTAAGGATTCTTTATATATTTTGGATAACGGTCCTTTATCAGATGCCTTGAATCCACACACTTAGTTATAATCAGGTTTTCGCCCCTATTACAATGATTAAAACTGCTTCTGTCAAGGTCACCCATAATTAATTCTTACTTTTCATTTTCCTTGACCCATCAGGAGCATCTGACATTGATGAAGTAGGCAGTTAGTTAGACGTGAGCTTGAGGCAAGGACTGTGATAAATAGGTGACATATTAGAAGCCTGAGGGCACAAAGTCTAACTTTGTGGCTTTTAAAATCTTAGTCTTATGGCTTCTAAAACCCAGGGGCTGACAGACCAAGAGCCATAGGTGCAGAATGTGCACTCTCACTTCAACCTCTGCCCCAAAGTGACTCCCTAGGTTCATTATAATATATTTACATTGTGCGTTTCACACCCCCAACCCCATGGGCAAGATGGCCAAGACAATTCCAGCAAGAACCTTGTAGGGCCAAAAATTCCCCCTCCCAACCAGTAGGAGTCCTCCCTTCTCAGTCAGAGTTGGCCCTAGCTATGACCCATAAACTATGCAAACATAAAAAGAAAAGACACCCATCTTAAAGACAGTTGCCATCTCTGGGCCTGCCCACTTTCCCATCTTAATAAACCTAATAAACTGCTTTGTGCTTGCTACCTTCCTCTGGCTGTCTTTATTCCAGTGGGGATCCTCATGTAAATCTTTCCTGGGGAATCCAAGAACCAGCCTTCCAATCAAACCTCCATTCTCCCACCTAACAAAATAGCTGGTCTCCTCCTCCTCTTTGAAGGATGGTCCAGGAGGCTTCCACAGCACCTCACTCTCCTGGTGTCCCTCCCCTGTCCCTGACCACACCTACTTTGGGTCCTTTACTGCTTTTTCCTTATCTAGGCCTCTAAAGTGTGTGTCCTGGGGCTCAATCAACACAATGTTTTCCATCCATGCAACTTTATTGGTGAACTCTCTATTTCACGACTTTAAAGGCCATCTATAACCATTAGAGGCAGAGTTACATAGACCCCCTCCGCCCAACACCCTTTGCCCCTGTCCACTCTGCCCTCAGGCTGCCCCAGTCAGTACCTAGCAGGCAAGGTACCTTGGACTATTTCTTGCCTTTCTTTCCCCAACAGGCCAGGCCCCCAGTTCTGTGTTCCCTTTTGACCACAGCTCCTCTCTTCCCAGCGGCTCCCCTTACCCAGCTCTTGTTAGGACCACTTGGGCCCTAGCCATGTCCTAGCCGCTGGGCACACAGTCCTCTCCGCATGCAGCAGGGTGTGTGTCAGGTAACTCCTGAGCAGTCTGCCTTGCTGAGGGGATGCTGGGTGGGGTGTGGGTGGCAGCTGGGTGTGAATGTGGAGACACGCAGGTACCTCTTGAGAGGTACACGTGGGACAGGTAAGGCATGCAGCAGTACTCGCCCCGAGGTAGACCGCTTGGCCTGGCCAATGAAAGTGCTGGTAAAACCGGCACGCCAGTTAAAACCTTTAACGCAATGCGGCAGAGGGGACGGGCCCAGAAGGCAGGACTTAATCCTCATTGGTCAGATTGGGCCTTGGGGGCGGGACCACGCATGCTCAGGCAACTCCAGTGGGACTAAGTAGCCTTGAGGTAAGATCAGAGACGCCCCAGGTGGGGCGCGAGCTGTCCCTCAGAGGTGGAGGCGGGAGGGGTTTGGCCAGGAAGGGCAGGGAGGGGGAGGGGGTGAAGGTGGAGAGGTCGGGAAGCCATACAGGGGCCTTGAGTACAGGTTCGAGATTTCTAGCGACGTCGAGGAGTTTCTCGGGACGCCGGGTTGTCCAACTTGATCCTTGTCCTGGAATTCCTAGCCATTCATTCTTTTTCTGTGACGGAAGACCTCTCTGGCTCTTCAAGGAGACTTTCTGTGCTCATCTTTGGAGTTGTTTTCGTTAGATTCCCGGGTGTCCACAGCCTCTTATCCCGAGTCTGGGATTAGGAGACGCAAGAAAGAGAATCGGCCCAGAAAGCGTGAACAGGAACCCGGGAAACTGGGATTTGCCTTATAATTATGCAGTATCCCTTGGAGGCCTCTGGAAAAGACATCTGAATGATTTAGTCTGGGAGCCCAGAGCGTGTCTCCTAATTGAAAAGAGACTGAAGATGAGAGTGAACGGTCGTATGAGGTTTAGGAGGGCCTGGTCGAGGCCCAAGGGGCACAAAGTCTGAGAGAGAGAACTGTTTTTTTCAGTGACCTAGTGCAGGAGCCAGAAGAGCATGTGGAGGACCTCACACTGTGGCCTCAGGAGTCTCAGTGTTGAAGACGGGGGTCAGATGGTGGCGGTGGTGTACTTCCCCTTAGGGCATTCTCTTCAGCACACATGTTTCTCCCTTGCCTAACTCCTTGCCAGCGCCCTTCCTAGGGAGACAGTTGTATACCTTGCGTGCACTTAAACGTTTCCTCTGCTTTTATGCTTCTTCTAATAGGATTGGGAGATGAGAGGGAGAGAGAACCCTGCCCTTGGAAGTTTGTAATGTGTGCATTTCAGTTTTCATTTACCTAGTGTCCCACCTAAGAATGACTACTACTTCATTACTAGTGTGCTAGCATCTACAAGGATAGGTATAGGCAGATGGGATTTCTGCCCTCTGGGAATTTAAAGCCTATAATAGGTAGCATGGTGACAGGTAAATGCATAGAGAACAGATAAACCTGAGGCTGAGCACATCAAGCCCCATGTGGTCCTTAGACATAGGCAAGGGTGCAACCATGGGATTTTCTCAACATGTAAGAAATCTCTTAGGAGTAAGTTTGGTCTGGAACCAGGAGCATAGTTATTCTAAACCCCAAGCCACATACTGCATAAATTATTCTCCTTTCTCAACATAAACAGAAATGGAAGATGATAAAGGATGTACATCTAGATGTAGTAATAATGGTCTTGTAGTGATGTATGTAAAATTGTCTAGATGCTAAATCAAGACTCTAGAAGGAAGAATTTCTGAAGTGTTGATGGAAGAAAAAAGCTCAGACTATCAAAGAAATAAGTAAACATGAGTCAGGAATCCTAGATTTACTTCAATTCTTCTTCTTTTTTTAAATATGTAGTAAGTCTATGCAGATCTAGGGATTTGAAATGTAATAATTAAAACCAAATCATATGTATTTTTAAATTTGTGGATACTTGGAAAGTTTTGCTCTATTGTCCTAATTTAGTTCTCATTTAAAAAAAAAAAAAAACAACAACTGATTTAACAGTAAGTATTTTCTGGGCACCTATTATGTGCCAGGCACAATTTCTAGAGTCTGAGGATATAGCAGTGAACCGAACACAAAAATTCCTATCCTCAAAGAGCTTAACATTACATTCTTGTAGGCTTGGATGTGCATGCTGAGACAGACAAAACAAGGTAAAATTTAAAAATATATAGTGTATTAGAATAATGGTATGCTTTGGAGAAAAAGCAGAGAAGAAACATTGATTATTGAGGTGCTACAGTTTTGAATAATTTGAGAGAACCCCTGGAGGTGGTGGATGTGGTTTGGCCTATTATGCTGATAATCTGAAGGAAGAGTGATCCAAGTGGAGAAAACAGTATGGGAAAGGGGCCTGAAGCTGGTTGTGGTTCTGGTTGTGGTGCTGGTTCCCAGCAAGGGAAAGCAGCAGTGAGAAGCCCCATAAGAAGTGTGGAATGGAGTGTAGATGGGAAAAAAGCAGGGCTAAGGGGAGATTGCAGACACCAGAGATAATCATGGGAATTCTGGCTTATATTGGAGTAGGGTAGGAGCAGGGATAACATGATCTGACTTAAGGTTAGAGGAACTCTGAATCTAAAGTTGTCAGATTTAGCAAATAAAAATACAGGACACCAAGTTAAATTTGAATTTCAGGTAAACAATATTTTTTTTAGTACAAGTGTGTCCTGGGCAATATTTGGGAAGTTCAAATTTGAGCATCCTATATTTTATCTGGTAAACCTATAGAAGAAGGAACTTAAAGTGGACAGATTCTGAATTTGTTTGAAGGAATCATAGTATCTGCTGACAGACTGGATGTGAGAAGAGAGACAAAGAGGACTCTTAGATTTTGGCTTGAGCAACTAGAAAGATGGAGTTGCTGTTAACTGGAATAGGACGACTGTAGGTGGAGAATGTTTTGGGGAAAAAAATGACAATCTTAGTTTTGGACATGTTGGTTTGTGGTGCATATTAGTCACCCAAGTAGAGATGTCAGGCCAGCACTTGAATATAGGAGTCTGAAGTTCAGGAGAGGGGTCTGGGCTGGAGGTAACAATGTTGGGTGTTGTCAGCTAATACAGGCATTTACCAATTCATACATCAATTTTTTGTGTGGAAAATTTCAAACATGTCAAGTAGAAATCATTGGATGAATGAATGCCAATGTACCCATCACCTAGCTTCAACAATTATCAACCCAGGGGTAGTCTGTACCCCTTTCCAGGTCCCCTAATCCATCTCTGTTATTTTAAAGCAAAACAAAAGTTTTGGAGATTATTTTATTAATTTAAAATTTATGTATGTATAAAAGATAAGGACTCTGTTTTTATCATAACCACAATATCATTACCACACTTAAAGTAACAATTTATTGATATCATTAAGTAGCTAGTCAATGTTTAAATTTTCTTAATTGCTTTCTTATAATTCAGTATCCAAATACATTGTATTTGGTTGGTGTGGCTCATAAATCTCTTCTAATTTATAGTCTCCCACATCTCTTTTTTTTCTTGCCTCTTATGCTTTAAAAGAATATGATCATTTAAACTGTAGAATTAACCCCTCTGGATTTTGCTGATTCCATTCCACTGGTTCTATTTAACCACTGTATTTTCTGTATACTGGTCCTTACATCTAGAAGGTTAATTAGATTAGGGATCAATATTTTTGGCAAGTATACTTACTTCTTTGGTAATGCTTGGCACCTCCTGTTGAACCTCATCAAGAGGCTCATACTAGGGCTGGTTTCTGTCTTTGTGAATAAAAGATCAACTGAAGGATTTAGGTGTTTTCAGCCTGATCTATTCATTATAAAGTTTCCTATTACCTTTCACCTCATGGTTTAAACAGCCATTTATGATCATTGTCTAGATCCATTATTTTCATTGCACCTCCAAAATGGTAATAATCTAATTGTACCATTCATTCTGTGTTTATTAGCTGAAATACTTCTATAAAGAACATTCTCACATCTATATGTTGGTTACTTTGAAGTGCATCTTCCTAGAAAGGTAAGAGAAACGATTCTTTTGTCTACCCTACCAGCTTTCAAAATAATAAGGTGGTTGCGTATCTTCCAAAATGACTGATGAAGGTTTTAAAAACTATAAATTTAACAGAGGGAGCCCTTTAAGCTAGCTCTCCAG